GGTATTAAAATCGATGAAAAGGTTGTTATTGTGATTTTATGATATTACCATTATTCCAATCTTACTCATAATATATTAAATAGTAGTGCCTCTGAACTGCACAATGCTGTAATGCTGTGCCATATGAGCATACACTTCTATATAAACACGTGTAGTTAGAAGCTGGGGTTGGCTGGGAATAATGGTAGTTTCAGTGCACAGAATCTAGTTCATTGGCTGTGAGCGTCATTTGATTGCTCTCAGCCAATGAGCTAAACCCTGCATTACCGGGCTTCACTTAGAACGCATCTGGCTCTGTTGGATGTAGTGGAGGCAGAGAATGGTTCCCGGTGTACCTCAAGTAAGTAGTCAAACCTTTCTAAAATGGTTTGAATACTTAACAGGGGGTAGGGGGAAAAAGGCACGCTGTAGTGGTTGTGGGGCTTGGAGCGACTTTTTAAAGTCAACAATAACAATTGGAGATTCTTGATATGATATCATAATACTATACGTTCTAAGAATACAGTGTTATAATGCCAGACATCTTAGTTATATATTATAAATTAAAGAAAGAGGCATATACAGAGGGGCATGTCGGCATGATAAAGCAATAGAACTAATAAGTAGCAATTCTATGCATGGAGATGCTAAGTGAGAAATCTTTAGATCAAGGAATAATGACGGGGACTGTGTGATGGGAGCTCCTGTGCCATGTTTTTTTTGGAGAGGCTTGAAGCTCAGCCTTCCTTCCATGGACTATGGGTTTTCTCCCAAGACCCATGCCTCCTCCTTGGTAACATTCATTGGATGACTGATAATCTGCCGTTCCACACTTCCTGTCTCCTGTCCTGCCAGCTAAGAGTGACATCCATCTTCTCAATGTGGTCATATCATTCTACCCCATACATTCAGACTCATCAAATGTGTGGGGGAAGCTCTGTGTTCAGAGCTATATTCACTGCAGCATAGTCTGGTGGAAAAGGTCCTCAGCGAACCCAGTCAAGCTTCGGTGACTGGGCCTGAAGCTTTCCAGGGTCCTTGATAGCAAGCAGGAGGTTGACCTGGCGCAGGAGTACGGGAGCTCCGTCACAGACTGTTAAAGGATAAATGTACCCTCTGTGAGAAAACATTTTAAAGGGACACTATAGTCACCAAAACAACTTTCACTTAAAAAAAAGCAGTTTTGGTGTATAGATCATGCCTCTGATGTTTTCCTGCTCAATTCTCTGCCATTTAATTATAAATCACTTTTGTTTCTGTTTATGCAGCACTGGATACACCTCCCCTGGCTGTAACAAACACAGCCTGCATGAAAAAAAACATTAAATCTTTTTCATGACTGCAGACCAATCTTTACTAACTTTTTCCAATTTTTAACAGACCAGCATTCCATCCAACTGTCAGCTGACTTCCCCCAACAGACAGATCCCACTGTCACGGTTCTCGCCACAGCAAACAGACGGCCAGACGTGGTCACCCATGGAGTTCCCAACAAGGGACTTGAACCGGGGAACTTCGCAGTCCTGGTTCCTTCCTCTGAGCCACAGCAGCTTTTGTATTTCTATGGCATTCTGGTCCTATTCATCCTGGCATGTCTATTTCTCTGGGGGCTGTACCTTGACTTTGGCTGTGCTTCACCTGACCCTGATCAGACATTAGCAGGGTATTTAAACTCAGCCTCGCCCTGTGATCAGCATCAAGTCTTTGATCCTGTTGTGTGCTTTCTACAAGTGTTCCTGTTGTTTGAGCTGCTACTTGTTATTGACCCCGGCTTCTGACTACGTTTACTCTGACCTCTGGCATCCCTTGACTTCGGCTATTCTTTGACGATCCTGCTGTTTGAGTCCTTGCCTGTCCTGTGACTTGGTACTTCATCCTGCACAGCCCCCGTGCACAGACGGGTGAATTCTTACCTGACCACCTTGGCCTGTGGCTATCTGCAAGGGTGAGCAACATATCTGCGCTACAGACTCCCAACCCAGGTAAGACCCTGACAAAAAGACTTGATCAATATGGAGTCCGCAGAGATGTGCTCACCCATGTCCCAACCAGTGTCCAGCCTGGCCCAGACTGTTTTGGAGTTGCAGCAAGAAATTTTATTTCTTAAAGGTGCAGTACGTCCAGCCTCGGAACCAGCTTATCCTGAACCGTTTGTCATCATGCCCGACCGTTTTGATGGTAGCCGCACGTCCTTTAAGATGGATTTGAGGTGTTGTTTTCTTTAAAGCCTCGAACATATGCCACAGAATTCATCAAGGTCCGAGCGGCTATCAACCTGTTGTCTGGACGCATCAAAGTATGGGCTCACCAAATGTTGCAGACAAAGAGTCCTGTCCTTGTCAGCTGGGAATCCTTCAGTACTGCTATGGACTCACAATGCAAGACCACTGTGACCAAGCCAGCTCCACGTACCAAAAAATCCCAGATTCTTCGTAACCAAGAAACCCAGTACCACCACTACACCCCAGTGATGTCTCCTTATGATCCTGTTGCTATGAAAACTCCTGAGATATCCTGTGTT